AGACGACAGTCAAAGGGTTTCTGTCCAGTGTGAGTCCTCTGGTGTTTCACCAGGTCATAATTCTGACTGAAACTCTTCTTGCAAAAAGAACATTCAAAGGGTTTCTCTCCTGTGTGAGTCCTCTGGTGTTTTACCAGGCTGGAACTGTGACTGAAACTTTTTCCACAATCAGGACATTCAAAGGGTTTCTCTCCTGTGTGAGTCCTCTCATGGCTCACTAGGTGAGAATTCTGCCTGAAACTTTTCCCACAAAGAGGACATTCAAAGGGTTTCTTTCCTGCATGAGTCCTACGGTGTTTTGCCAGCTAAGAATTGTCAATGAAACTATTCCCACAATCAAGATATTCAAAGGGTTTCTTTCTTAAGTGAGTCCTCTGATGGCTCACCAGGTGAGAATTCTGACTGAAAATTTTCCCACAATCAGAACATTCGAAGTGTTTCTCTCCTGTGTGAGTCCTCTGATGGCTCACCAGGCTGGAATTGTAACAGAAACATTTCCCGCAAACAGGACATTCAAAGGGTTTTTCTCCTGTGTGTGTCCTCTGATGTGTTACCAGAGTGGAATTCTGGCTGAAACCTTTCCCACAAAGAGGACATTCAAAGGGTTTCTCCCCTGTGTGAGTCCTCTGGTGTTCTGCCAGATAAGAATTCTGACTGAAGCTTTTCCCACAAACTGGGCACTCAAAGGGTTTCTCTCCTGTGTGAGTCCTCTGGTGTTTCACCAATTCATAATTCTGTCTGAAACTTTTCCCACAAAGAGCACATTCAAAGGGTTTTTCTCCTGTGTGAGTCCTCTGATGGATCACCAGGGGATAATTCCGACTGAAACTTTTCCCACAAACAGGACATTCAAAAGGTTTCTCTCCTGTGTGAATCCTCTGGTGTTTCACCAAGTCAGAATTCTGTCTGAAACATTTCCCACAAAGACGACAGTCAAAGGGTTTCTGTCCAGTGTGAGTCCTCTGGTGTTTTGCCAGGTCAGAATTCTGACTGAAACTTTTCCCACAAACAGGACATTCAAAGGGTTTTTCTCCTGTGTGGGTCCTCTGATGTGTTACCAGGTTGGAATTCTTGCTGAAACCTTTCCCACAAACAGAACATTCAAAGGGTTTCTCTCCTGTATGAGTCCTCTGATGACTTATGAGGCTGGAATTCTGACTGAAACATTTCCCACAAACAGGACATTCAAAGGGTTTCTCTCCTGTGTGAGTCCTCTGGTGTATCACCAGGTCATAATTCTGTCTGAAACTTTTCTCACAAATGGGACATTCAAAGGGTTTTTCTCCTGTGTGAGTGCTCTGGTGGATCACCAGGAGATAATTCCGACTGAAACTTTTCCCACAAACAGGACATTCAAAAGGTTTCTCTCCTGTGTGAGTTCTCTGATGACTTACCAGGCTGGAATTTTGTCTGAAACCTTTCCCACAAAGACGACATTCAAAGGGTTTCTCTCCTGTGTGAGTCCTTTGGTGTTTCACGAGGTCAGAATTCTGGCTGAAACTTTTCCCACAAAGTGGACATTCAAAGGGTTTCTCTCCTGTGTGACTTCTCTGATGTCTTACCAGTTCGGAGTTATAACTGAAACTTTTCCCACAATCAGGGCATTCAAAAGGTTTCTCTCCTGTGTGACTCCTCAGGTGTCTCACGAAGTGAGAATATCCAATGAAATGTTTCCCACAATCTGGACAGTCATACAGCTTCTCGCTGCTATGAGTCCTCAGATGTATCAACAAGTTGCCATTTTTCTTAAAGGATTTACCACATTGGAAGCACTTGTAGGGCATCTCTGCCAGGTGGATTATTCTGCAAACTGAAAGGATCTGTTCTAACAAGCTTTTGCCACATTCAGATCATTTATATGTGGTTTCTCCAGAGTGGATTCTTCCCTGCTTAATCACTTGCGATTTGAAGTCTGCTTTGTTCATAATAGGCACACCTATGGAGCTCTTCCACCACTGATATTCTTGAGAAGGTCAAAAATATATGTGATCCCTTGGTTAGTGGTGCTTTGATTTAAGCCCTTTTCTTCCTCCTACGGCAACACTTGTCTTACTGGCTGCCCTATGTGCTCATCCAATTAACCTTTAGCTCCTCACTCACTTCCAGATATTTGCCTCTTTTTCTGAATGGAAAAAAAAAATCTCCCTTGACCTTTTTGTATATTGTGTCCTTGATTTCCACATACTCTACTTTTTCCACACAAAAACTCTCATTGATTCTCTTTCCTTTGTCTCTCAACTGCTGTGGAAGGAGAAGAATTGTGTGGTTTTTCTGATGGAAATGGAGAATACTTTTATTTCTTCCTCAATCTGCTTTGCTTTTCAATATTGCTTGTTATTCTCAGTTGTCCGGTGTGGTCTTCTGGCATCACCTTATCTGTAAGATTCAAATGAAAATGTAGCGTTTATTGTTTATAAAACGGTTGCAGAAGACGTGTAAAAAGTGTACATTACAATGAAAAAGTAAACATGCCACAATGCTAGAATAATCTCTTATATCAATTGTGATATTTACTACCACGTTCCAGTTCCAATATCCATTCAATCATTAAATTCACTTGTTGATTTAGGTCAGTCACAAATTCTCAGCTCTTCAAAGGATTTTCATCAAATATATATGGTAGATAGAAAGAATTCTTTATTGGCCAAGTGCGATTTGATACACAGAAATTTGTTTTTGTTGCATATGCTCTCGGTGTACATAAAGAAAAAATAAGATACATTCATCAAGAATCATAAGATACAACACTTACTGGTAGTCATAGGTTACTAATAAACGATCAAATCATATGAGAAAACAAATAAAGGAGAAAAATATTACTTTATTACGGTCTTAGGCCAGTAATATACATCACTATTTACAATATATAAAAAATATTACTGACACATTATAGTACATTATTAGTGGATAATAACATCCCTGTTAAGAAAATACATGTTCTCAAACAGTTAGGGTCACCCACTGATTTATATGAATGGAGAGCCAATAAGTGTGTGTCATTTCCCACAGATTGTTGTATCTCCAAAATTTGGCACAAATTGACAGTTATAATTTTGTAACCAATTTTTTTTCTTTCTTTTCTTTCTTCTCTTTCTTTCTTTGTGTTTTCTTTCTTTTCTTGACCCCTTCTCTCTTTCTCTCCCTATCTTTCTCCCCCCTCTCTCTTTCCCTCTCTCTCTTTCTTTCTCTGTCTTTTCCCTTCTTCCTTCCCTCTCCCCTCCTAAAGCTAGGAAACCCACCTGAAATGCACGCGCACACACACACACTGACATGCTTCCCACATTGCTCGTTAACTTATGTTCTTCCCGGCCAGTCTCCTCAAGACCCAGGGACCGGATGCCATTATCCATTGGCACCGGGTCCCTCATTGCCCGTCAGGCAAGGCTTCCGGGTCCAACAAAGAGGCTCGTGACAGGACTTCCTCCCCTCCCTCAAGCTCCCACCCTGCTGGCATCTCAACTGCCTGCAAAGTGCAAACTTACCTTTGTCCCGTGGCTGGTGCCAGAGGAAAAGGTGAGCCAGCCAGGGCTGAGCCATCACCACTCAGCTGTCCGCCAGCCCGCATCTCGTCCCCTGCTGCTACTTGGATCCTCCACAGCTGCTGGGGCTCGCGGCTGCCTGGGTGCAGGAGGCAACCAGGATGTATGGGTCTATCCGCATTGCCCCTCTGCCTGCCACCCCTCCCTCATCCACCTGAGCATTTTAGCCGAGTGCAACCCACCAAGGAAGATCTGCTCTCACGAAGCTTGACTTGCACCATTCTCACAGAATGAGGACCGCATTCAGCCAAAGTGCACAGGCCGGCGGGTGGCAGAGGGAAGTGGCAGCAGGTAAAGGGGCAATGCGGGCCTGAGTGCCATAGCATTGTGCACCTGGTCATCACCTCCCCCCGCACCGAGTAGGCAGCTGCGGAGAATCCAGGCCGGGAGCGAGATGCAAGCTGGTGGGGACCAGAGTGGCGACAGGTCAGCCTTGCTTGCCTTCCTCTCTGCCACCAGCAAGCCAGGTAAGCTAGAGGCTGGGGACGGTTGTGGAGGAAACTTGCTAGGCTGCAAGAATGGCGAAGCAAGGGAGGCAAGTGGGGGGGAACCTTGCTAGGCCACGAGAGCCGCATGCGTGGTCCCCTGGCTAAGCAAGCCAGAAAGGGACGCGGGGCAGCTAGTTAGGCAATGAGCGCAGAGGGTGGCAGCTGCACAGCGGTGGTGGCAGAGGCCAGCATGGGAGTCGGGATTCAACTAGAGCTTGTGGTGGTGGCGGCGGCAAAGGCAGTGATGGCAATAGCGCGGTGGTGGCAGCCTAGGCGGGCCCAGGAGTTGGGACTTCACTGGGGCTGGCAACAGCAGCAGCATATAGGAGACCGGGGCTTGCAGAACCTTGCTCACCTAGGCAGATCATGGTGGAAGGTAGACAGAAAAGCCTGGAAGGTGGGAGAAAGCAGATGTTCCACATGCACGCGATTTTGCACATGCGCGATAAGGATTGGCTGCGCAGGGAATGGAGAAGCAGGCGAAGAGGGGTGGGGTCAGCTAGGGGGCCGTTTTATCAGTTCTCCAAACTACCAAGAATCATAAGAACCGGTTCTACTAAACCGGTAGAATCCCACCGCTGGACTCTTCAAACTTATTTCTTAGTAGAGATGTACAAAGTTCTATTGTTTCTGGCACTAACATCCATTTAGTAACTTCCTTTGCATTTTTCTCAGTCCATTTAATTTTTACCTGGGTATTTAGGCTCTCTAACCTGGGTAGGCAGATTGAACTAGCCCTTAGAAATTTCTGGTGTAATATAAGAGTAAGGATTACTGAATTGTGATCGGTTTCTAGTCGTGAGTCTACCTCCATCTTCTGCAAGAACTTCTGGAGGTCATACGAT